AAACCCAATGGGAGCCCACCGACAGTGTCACACTCACACAGGAGCCCACTGGATGCTGATGGAAAACCACACAGCTCTTTCACAATGCCAAGCTCCAGTTTCAAATCTGCAAAGTTATATTAAGCAATTCAGTCCACATTCACAAATCACATAACAATAACAGATCACATCCAACATTTCTGCTCAAGGCAGCAAGACACCACAGGCAAAACATTTATTTCATGCACTATAATATATAAATATACATACAAACACGCATCGAGTTCTCAAAAGGTTTTTTTTTTCTCCTGCACCGAGTCAAAAGTCTTACATACTACAAACTTCATGGTTTTATTCTTACATATTCTGAAGATTTTTTAACGATGGGTTTGTTAACATATATTTTCCCTGCTTTTATCCTTTCTGGCTGGTTTTTCTATTTTATGACAAATAAATCCCTTCTCCGGCAAGTAATTTCGACTCTGATGTCCCAACAAAATAAAACAGATTTCTGTTCTTCTGGGAATATATTCAAATGTGTCCATGTTTAATGAGACAGTGCACGCCTTATTATCATATATTTACACCTAACATTTCAGAAAACTTGTAAATCAAAAATGTTTGCAATTCTTAATGTAATCAATCAAATGTGTAAGTACAATGATATTTATCTGTACGCATATATTATAAGTTAATTCACAAAGGGCGTCTTGACTTGGTAACGCTTCCTTTTACAGTCCAGTTACCCATGTAAATACTATGTACTTATTTTAGTAACTACAATTACTGGGTAATACCTAGTACTAACCCTGAACCTACCCCTGTTCCATGTACTTACCTTATACTTTCTACTGTAATTATACTGTAAGTACTGTACTGTAAAAGAAAGCATTACCAAAAAAACAATTTTGGAAATCATCTCATCCAAACATTAAGACTCGTTTGAAAGCAGCAAAGTTCACAGAAACAATGTAAACAAATTACAAAGTTACATTATCTAATGCTGGGTCAGACTATACAATCTGCGACTATAGTCACTGTGTCAGATTAATCAATTTTGAATCCTTAGCTAATTCTTGTCTGTCATGTCAGACTACATGTTGCTCCCTGGCCAATTATTGCTTGCGGTCTCTTTACGACGTGCTTGAGGTCACCAACAAGGCAGAACTGGCATAAACAAACCACCAAGGCTATCGAAGCATCGAGTTTTCTGCTGTTTTGTTGTCAAAAAAGCCCCCAAAAAGAAAGAAAACCCCAAAAGTGGACATCATGTTCCTGGATTGAGCGAAGAGGTATTGTTGCCAATATATTTTAAGGCATGAAGAGAATTTTTCAAGGAAATAAACGTTAAAATACGTAATTTTCGTAATCGAAGAGGAGTTTTAAGGGATAAAATCAAATGGTTGGCCACAGATGAGCTAAACAGGCCTCAAGCCAATTATGGCTGTCACTTTTGAGAAAAATCAAATTCGAACGGTTATCGAATATCAAGCAATGTATTCGAATTTCTATGACCCCCCCTAAAAAGTAAAAAAAGAAGAAGAAAAACACAGTAACGGAGATTCAATCACAAATTTATTAACAGTCTGACAGTCATAAACAGGACTCGGGCCTGTCTGAAAAAAATCTTTGACTTAATATTTTAAACAGCAGGTTATCAACTTAATCTATGAAGTGGCACTATGCATAGCCAATCACAAAATTAGGGGGGAAAAAAACAGAATCGGAACAGCACGGCACAAACAGCACTGGATCAAGTGCGGCTATTTTTATTGGCGATGTTCCCCGCGGTGGAGAACGTGCTCGGAGCGCGTGCGCACAGGTATTTGTGCGTCAATGTTGAGACGAGTGGTATCTATCTACGGCGTAGAACCCAAAATATTTCCAGAATTAGCCAATATTAGTCTTTGTATTTTATGGGCCACCCGCATTTGGCGGGTGTTAATGTCAAGCCCTGGACCCAATGTGTTCAAGGTGAAATATGTCACTTTTTTCCCTTAAGTATTTATAAATACTTTCACCTGTCCCACTAGGTCAGCCAGGCGGATTCCCATGAGAAGTCAGAACACTGTGACTCTGAAAACAATCAAAACATTACTCCGTGTGTTTGAGAATCCCAGCCAGCCAGACACAACAACATCAGCTCCACCAAGAGCAAACGGGGAAAGCGTTCAGCTCAAAAAGACAGGGAGAGGGTTTGGAAAAAATTTTGTTTAGAGCCAATAGTAGTGGATAGAGACTGCACTAGCGGTGTCACAATATATCGAAAATTCGCAATGCAAAAATGCAACAATAATGTGGATAATAAGTTCACCCAATAAAAATTACTAAGCAAGGAAAAATTTCATGTTTACAGAGTTTTAGTGTCAGTACTTCAGTAGCCCTCAAACCGTATTCACTTTACAGCCCTTAATCCTGTAATTGTGGACAAATGCGGGCACAGAGGACTCAGGTGTGATCCTAATTTTTATTTATTATAAATGTTATATCACTGTCTTCGATAAAGTTTTGTCTATCCATTTTCGGTGTTTTTTTTTTATTTTGGGGGTATTTTTGAATTTATTTACTTCAAAAAGTACCATATTTTCTATGTAAATTATGCTTATTTTTATGTTTTATTTTTTAATTTTTTTAACTACATTAAAATATCATTCCACTAAGTTCTTAGAGCTAAAACCTAAAGATGAAGTGACTTTGCGGTCACCTGGTGTCTTATTTTGGCTTATTTTAGAATGCTCTAAATTACAGTTTTTCCCATTCATTTCTATGGGTGCCCATTTTTGACCCAAATACAAGATTAGGGAGGTTTTTTTTCACCCACTTAACATTGTAGAATTGAGTTTAAAAAAAAATTGTGTGTGTTCAGGAGGCAAACTTAAAGGGAAAAGTAGCCAAGTCTTGTACCACTCAGATCAAGGGAAGTATTTTTTTGAATATAATGTATAATAGTAATAATGCAATGGGGGAATATTTGTGGGTCCTGATGATGCCAAATGTCTTGTTACCAGTAAAAGTGTCCTACATTATTATAAACATATCTAGTCAGTGACAGAGAACAAGCATATTCATCTGAAATAATTCAGTATTTTCAGCTCCAGAATCATGAATATTATTATTCTGGTGTCTCTATTGTCCTGTGTTTTGGGTTTCCATCATAAAGTCCATCCTATTCATTTACACACACACAATGCAACACCAAATTTAGCATTTTAATCAACAGTTAATTTTTTGGTAACCCTTTATCATGTCTTGGAGTATCGCAATAATATTTGTATCGTGAGTTCACTATCATCTATCGTATCATAACACATGGGCACCCTTACTGCACACTTCTCTGTTTCAGCTCAAGGAACCCTGAAAGGAAACTGCTTTGATCTTGTAACAAAACCAGTTTGAGAGGATGAGGTGTTTTAGTCAAGCAGGAGAACATCTGCTTCAACACCTGTCCAACACCTGCTGTGTCTATCAGGACTGCTTCTGCCTGTAGCCTTCAAGCACACATGAAGCACACACACACACGGTGTGTGACGCTCCGATTCGCACCTGAGGGGGAAATGAATAAGCTCAATGACGTAAAACACAGTTTGGAGTCACAGAATCCCTGCATGGCTTATAAACACTTAACGAAAGACAACTAAACTGAAAAATATCTATAGTCTGAAAGGCACACACTGTCATATATGGGTTTTATGCTGAACAATCTGGATACACCAACATGCTTCATGCCTAGATATTTATGAAGAAAATAATAATAATGCCTCATGAAACAAAATCTCACGTACATTCTTCTTTAACTTAACTGTTCTCGGGAAAAACAGGCATGCAGGGTTTTTTTCCAGCAGATTCTTTAGGTTTCAGCTCCATTCATCTATCATTATCTATACAGTCTCAAAGCCTGCAGCTCATATAGCATCAAATCCTGCGCTCGCAGTCTTCCTTCTGAAAACACCTGCCATTCAACCAGCAGATGCTGACCTTTCTCACACACCATCATCTTCATCACCATCATCATCATCACACACCGAGCCGAGGAGCACAACCGCTTTCGACAACACACTCAAACATGATCTGAATATACACAATTGTTTTAGAACACTACTACTTGTGTCTAGATTTCATATTCAGATTACAAATACATAAGAGGTATTTTCTCAGAAATCTCCACTTCAGCAGCTCTAAAAAAACACCAAACTTTACAATTTTATTCATGTTTTTCACTGGAGGTATTTTACAGTGGAATTTGTTCATTTAGGGGACCATTTGCCTGATTATATACTTTATGCATTTTATTCCCAAATACATAAGGACATCTTTGGGAACATTTTCCTGGGTTTTTCGACAGCATGTTCAGATTTAAGGAATATATTAAGATATCCAAAATCTCCTCTGTAAACTTCTTTAAACGTCTAACCATACTCAAATATGAAGAACAACTGACAATTATTATAAACTACTATATACTATTTCGAGCGCGTAATTACAATTTACATAACTTGTCATTATAATTTAGTTTAGCGTGCACTTCTAAGGCGTTAGCTCAGTAGAAGCTCAGTAAAACGTATGAATATCTTTAAGTGACTTAAGAATTTTTAGTAACACTATTTTACAGTGTACCGGTTACACGTTACATGTAGTTAATGTAGCAATAACTATGCATAATAATAATGCATAATTACATGCAACTAACCCTAGTAACTTAAATAATTTATTAGCTAATGCACACACACACACACACACACATATATATATATATATATATATATATATATATACACACACACACACTGTAACAGGGACACAGTAAAATAAAGTGTATCCGACTTTTTAAAGTCATGACTGTCACTTGCATAAAGTTTGTATCACATTTTGTAAGTTATCTCCTTAATATTTCAGGCATATACAGAAGGAGCTCTGGCAGACAGAAGCTCATATATCGCTAATAATTCAAGTTTGTAACGGTTCCCCAAATGCACGTCGAACGGAAGCCCGTTTGTCTGAAGAAGTTTCGCAGTTATTTTTACCTGTTGTTGTGTGAAGCGTTCACGTCCACCGCGGCAGAAGCCGCTCCATGTTCAGCAGAGCTCGGACTCTTTAAACAGCTCCTCATCCACTCCTGAGCACCATTATTATCACCCAGATGAGTGCTGGTTCTGTCGCCGAGGCTGTGCTGCAGTAAAGCGGACTGGACCGAGCCGCTCTCACACTTATCCAGATCCACACTCCTCACCTTGCGCCTCCACTGGGAGCTCTCGCCCGCGCTCCTCTTCGCCTTGCCGTTGCTGGTCGACACACTGCTCCCGCTGGAGCCACTGGGACTGTCCTGGGCTCCGGTCCCGGTGCCTGAGCCGCTACTAGGGTCCAATAATCCGCCTAACGACGACGTCCGGCTCCCCGCCGTCGCCATTTTCTGTCCTGAATATTTGCACTTAATAGATTCTATGTGAGAGGGAGTGGCGGGAATTTGGGGGAGGATGAGAGGGAGGGGTTTCCGGATAGATGGGAGGGGTCGTGTACAATGTGGGAGGGGCCAAGGGACCTCTTTCATAATAATGAAAAGGGGCCATGTCATAATAATTATATTATTTTTTTGTGTAGGCCTATATGCTTTGCTTTCTTTATCATTTTTTGATACCTAGGTATTAATACAAAAAAATATAAAATAAAAAATAATATTAATTTGAATTTTCTTGACCTTTAAAAATGAAAGTTGAAAACTACACTGACTTTTTTTTACTTCCAAAAAAATTCACTCTGATATTGCTTGTAATTTTCACCAATAATTACAAAGAAATGGCAAGTAACAAATTGAATTAAACATTTTGACATTTTGAAGTCGAAAGACTAAATTTGTATTTTCTTGTAAAACGTTAAAAATAAAGTTTTTGTTATTGGCATTGATGGTTCCATGAAGAACCTTTAACCATTAGAGGTCCTTGGGATCAGGCTGACCGCATTTGAATTTTTGTTCTTTAAAAAACACGTTTCCTTCATCTCATGGCATGAGGATTTGTAACTTTTGTGACATAGGGTACCTATGAACCCACACAACATCTGGGTTGGATTTGGTTGTTCTGAAGGAGCCACATCAAAATGACCCCACATTTAAAATGAAAGAGAAAGATGAAAAAAAAAATGAGTTTTTTTATTTTTCATTTGTCAGAAAAATACAAAAATAAAACCAGCATAAATCTGAAAATTTCCATTTAAAAATAAAGACCTTGTACTAGAGCATAAATGCAACGTGGAAAGAACATGTTCACAAACACACACACACACACACACACACACACTCTCTCTCTCTCTCTCTCTCTCTCTCTCTCTCCATTCCTTTTCATATCGGCTTATTACTGATTATGTTTTATGCAAACAACAACAATAATTATAAGCTTTGAAAAAATACAGATTTTAATGTATTTCAAATATTTAAATATATATTCACAAAATACATTACAAAAGTTGTGAGAGGAGCAGTTGGCCACATCCAGACAAATGAACGAATCTCTATGAGCCTCTGCTGGATATATGTGGTCATGTGTTCTCCGACTGTGATTCCTGCAGGGTTTCCTCTTCTGCACCGGATCAATATCCACAAATAACTCATATTTGCACGTGTCATTCGATTTGACACATTTAACTAAACTCAGGTCACTGTTCTCAAAACAGTTAAAACACATAACCTGAACACTTCTGTCCTAAACAAGTTGTAAATTGCCCTCCATTTCATGCAAATGACAAATTATATGTATAATTTTCTCAAAACACTGCGCAAAATTCTCAAATTTTTTCACAGTAATTCACACACCCAGCCAAAACTTTTATATATCAGGAAAAACAGTTGCAGCTTTATAGTTTCACAAGATTCACAATCATTTGTGCCATTTTTCCACACACAACAAACAAAACTCTGTTAGTATTTGTTAAACTCTCAGTTGCACTTGACTGTCCTCAATTAGCCCCACATTTCCCAATTGTTCACACAGCTATCGCAGTTGCAAAATCTATAAAAGAGGAAAATAAATTAAAGCAGAAGAATGGGAAATGAAGAAATGTAAGAGTAAGATGTTTTGGAGGGAATAGAGGAAGGGCGATATTGAGAGAGAGGAACTGTGGAAGAGAAAGAGATGATGGGAAAGGAACAAACAGATGGTATAGAAGAGGAGATGGAGCAAGAAAAGCTAAGGGTGGAGAAAGAGAGAAGAGGGTGATGGTCTGTCCTTGAGAGAAACTGGACACAGAGTGTCCAGCCCAATATAAACATTGAGTCACAGTCAATGTCCACTTTCGGCAGGGTGATTAACAGCAAAACTGTGTTTTCAGCACGGGTCACATTTCAAGATGCTGTTCCTTTCAGCATATTCTCCTCTTGAAGATGGAAAGTACATGATCACAACCAAGTAAGTCTCCTTCAAGTTATGGAAGAGGCCTGCAGAGATGTTGAGGTACACAATGAGAGTCAAGATCTATAAAGTTCATTGATTCGATGATTGCAGTGCATTTATTTAAAGACTAATTTAATTTTATTTGGGGGGAAAACTCATCGTTATACAACTCGTCATTACAAATATAATGTTAATTTAATATATATCTGTGCAAACGGCGCCCTGTGGCACGGCAGGATTTTGAACAGGGTCCTGAGCCGTATCTGGGCGCTGGTGTGTGTTCACTAAGAGAATAATGTGTTCGAATTTTAAAGACGCACTTCTCATCTGATGTGTGAACCCCTTTTAGCTCCAACTTGCCTCAACACACCTGCCTGGAAGTTTCCATAGGTGCATCACAATCAACTCCCTACTTCAGTAGTCAGCCATATACTCTGATCAGGGAGTTTGCCATTTTAAGGCACTGAAATGTTTGCTCCTTAAAAAGTCCCACAGTGCACCGTGAAAACCAAGGCGCATTGATACTATTGTGCACCACAGCAGAGCAGACGGGACTGAAGAGCCCCCCGGCGGAGCTGGGGACCATCACTCGGTCCATAACAGGGCAGGACAGGAGTGATGTCTGTGGCAAGAAAAAAAACAACAAAAATGGTAAAATGTAATATAGCACTTTCCCAGACCCAATGGCCACCAAAGTGCTTTACATTCTTGCCTCACATTCACGGCAGTTTCAGCCATGCAGAGGGACCATCCAGCTCGTCAGGAGCAGCTGGAGTTAGGTGTCTTGCTCATGGACACCTTGACACAGGTCAGGTCAGGGATTGAACCACCAATCTTCTGGTAGACATCCTACATGAACCAAGGCAAGCAGAATCTTAAATCACGGCTTCCTTGGCCAAAGCTGGGGAACTTAGTCAAGTCAAGTCCCCATTTATACAGTATAATGCTTTTATAGCAATAAAGATTTTATAATAAATAATAATTTATTTGAAACAATAAATTGTTTCAAAGCAGCAGTGATAATTGGAAATTAAAGAAGCAGAGATTGTTTTGGCTTTACAGCACCTCTAGAATAAAGTTATTGCCCAGCTAAAGTTAGTTTTAATTGATTCACTTCCGTTGCGAAGATCATTAGTTATTAACTTAACGGCACTTACACAACACCGTTCTAACAGAAACGCTCATCCACACAACAGCAGAGCCTGGGGCTCAAGAATGCAAACCTTAAAATGGGTTCCAAGGTGCAAGCCTTGCAAAATTTCAACAACAACAAAAAAAGTTATCTCTTTAAAAAACACGAACTTGTGAGAATACTGACAACGTGCACATGCGTATTATGTGTTTAGTCAATAGGGATGTGCGTTTGAATTTATGTGTGCACAGGCATGTAGTGTTTCTCTACAAATTGACCTCAACAAGTCTGGCCTTAAAAATTTATAATACAGAATATTTGCATCGCTTCTGCGTAGCCAAGCATGTGAACCGGAATTATTTTGACAAACTGAACAAATCTTTTTCCGAGTCAATTCGTTCGTTTCGTTCGTTGAATGAACCAAATGACTCGCAAAAATATTCGTTCATTTTGATAACCGAGTTCGAACAGGAGAGCCACAAACGTGCGTCACAGAACAGAGCAAGGCGACCATTTGAGCTTATAAAACTTAAACTTTGTTATTTATTTATTAAATGAGCAATCGTTTCGCTTGATAAGACCCTTATTCATCGTCTGGAATCGTTTAAAGCCTTTAAACAATTTGCACTGAAACTGTCTTTTGGACCTTGAACCGTTTGGTTCCCACTGAAGTCCATTATATGGAGAAAGATCCTGGAATGTTTTTCATCAAAAACCTTAATTTCTTTTGACTGAAGAAAGAATGACATGGATATCTTGGATGACATGGGGGTGAGTAAATTATCAGCAAAAGTTTTTTGTGAACTACTCCTTTAAGTGCACTACTGTATATTAGTTGAGTAATGTAGGGGATGAATTGGGTGTAGGGGGTGATTTCGAACACAGCAGGTCAATAGGCAAGACAGGAACAAAAACATTCACAAAGAACAAAACGTAATCATGACAAGTATCTAAGTACAGTTTTTTTAAATATAAACATGTCTTTCATATGTTTGAAGTACACGACAAATGCACATTTAATAATTTAAGAAGACATCTTTTTCAAAGTAGTATAAATAATCAAGCATTATTTTAATGACAAATACATTTTAATGACAGTTCCACCTCATGAAATAGACCATATTTTTAAGACAATAACTATTTAATCTAAAATGGAATCCCTGCTTTTCTTCTGGGTTTAAAATTGATTGTATGTGTTTGAATTGCAAGCAGTCCAGATCGAGAGAATCGCTTTAACTGCAATCAGCTAGTCCCTGAATCAGCAAAAATGTGCCTTTTAAAGCAGAAGTCCAGTGGTTCAGCCTTCTGTTGGCCGAACACAAGTAAGCAGAGCATTCGTTTAGGGGGAGGGCTGCTAGAGGAAGCAATTTCCTGCTAAAGTAGGTCCACTTCATCAGTAAGTGCTATTCTTAGCCAGTCAGGCATCCTGCAGCTTCTGCGTTTTCCTGCTCACAATGAATACGATACTACATATTTTTGCCCCAAATTGCAATGCAGTTTAATGAGTAAGACAAATGATGGAAGACAATGATATTCTGAAGCCATACAATAGCTTCATGTTAAGAAAAGAACAATATTTAATTGAAATCTTCCCCTCTGTGCTCTCAAACTAAATTTGCATTTAGGCTAATCAGAAATGCTGGTATACTTCAAATGTGAATATTAAGAAGGTCTAAAGCACTTGAACGAGGCGTGTTGGTCACTCAACTGAGACGGCCCTACTCTCGGTTACTGAAGCTCTGAGACGTCAAGAGCAGCTTCATCTTCAGTACGCATCCTTCGGGATCTGTCTGCTGCTGCTTGTAACAGTTAACCAGCAGATCCTCATGTCAATCCTAAAGATGAAGAGCATAGGTCACAACATCTGGCTACTGGGGTGCCTCAGGGCTCAGTGCTGGGACCACTTCTCTTCTCCATCTACATGTGCT